CTCCTGCTGCTGATCAGAACAAACCTGAAAGGTCTGATGTAGGTACAGTTAAGCAAGTTTTGAAAGTTAGCTGACCTCTGTCTGATGCTGTTAGTGTCGTAGCTTCAATTAGAGTTCCAGGGATTGTAACTCAGTTAATATACTTCAAGGTTAAGCCACTAAAGCATTAGCGATGATAAGTTGTTTTGCATCAAGTCTCACCAGATGCAAAGAATAAGTTTCACATAAATTTTTGTATTTTTATGTTTTACCTTGTGACCACGGTAAAGGTTAACATGTTGAGCCCGGCCCCAAATTTGCTGTCCTTTCCGTTCAGCTGGCAGCAAGAGATCAAGTGACGCAATATTGCCGAATTAAATTGTTCATTAATTATACAAAAAAGAAGGAGATGCACATAAAGTCCGAAAGTATTGTTCGAAATGTTATGATGACAATTCAAAACTATTTGGATGAAAGATAGCCAAAAATGTTACCAAAATAGTTGTTTCGTATTGTTTGTAAAGCTAAGCCATAATTTAATTAGAATATTTCAATAAATTTCATTAAAAATACATTTGATCACATTTCATTGAGATTATACTTACTTTTTAACTTTAATACTGTTGGTCCCGCAGACCGACGCCAGCCAAATGTAAATTCCAGTGCCGGTCCACAGGGACCGATGCCGGGCTCAGTGAGTTAATGAAAGGCAATAACTTGCTTTAATATAGAGAGATAGTTTTTAAGGGAATGCATTTAGTTATAATTAAATTAGGTATTAGATAACCTTAGTCATTATAGATTTACATCGCTACTATTAAATTAAATTTATTTTTTAATAATATTTGTTAAAAAACCCTATTAATATCACAACCTCATAAAATTTCACAATTTAAAATACATGCAATTTATGACATTGATTTTTAAACAATATTTGGATAATTACACATTAAGAGCTACAAAACATAAAACTCAACAAAATAATTATGCGCCTTTTTAATTTGAAGGCCTGCCCAATATTTTGGCTAATTTATATCGATTTCCTTCTCCTTAAGCATGTTTTCTAGCAATTAGAAATTTGTCTCAATATGCAAAACAATGTTCTCATTAGTTTCTGCATGTTTTATCTCCTAACTGCCAACCTCTTACAATATACTACCTATGAGAGTTTACTTGATCTGGTAAAAATTAAATAGTCCGACCCCCCCCCCCCCCGACAGACGTGAAACAAATTATCACTATGTCTGAAAGTAACTATAAATCATATAATAAATTTAAATAAATGTTTAAATAAGCTTCTTATTCAAAAAGAACTTGGAACATATAGGCATGTTCTTATGCTAACAAAATAAAATACAGTTTGTGGTGATATAATTAAACAAGAAGAGTGAAATTCAAACTAAAAATATGGACTAGTGGTAAAAATTTTATATATACAATTTAATTTGGTTCAGTAATTCTATTGTCATAATAAATTCAAATGTCAGCAGCAGTAATGGAAAGACTAATAATTACAAATCATCAGAGCTGATAGGAACTAATGCAGGGAGCAAGTGGAGTTCAAAAACATTCGTTTTACACTAAAAACTGTCTAAGTGATTTGCATTCTGATGAGGAAATAGAAATGAGAAATTATAGTAAAGGCTGAAACTGTAAACAACTGGGTAATTTACATAATAATAACTGTACATATCTTTGAAGAATAATTTTCTTCTCCTTACATATTTAGTTTCTTTTTTCAACATGTTTCCTTTTCACTTTAAATTTTTGAGATTTAATTAAAGACTTCTGTTATTCTAAAAGACTAAATGCATTTAGAATGTATGGAAAAATCTGCTAATTTTATTTCTTTAGTAATACGAACATTCAGAAGAAATATGAAATACATATGGTGAGGTCTGGTCACAGAGCTGGTGTGGCATAATTTTTAGAATTTAGGGACACACTGAGCAAAAACATCTAGAAATGGCAAAACTTTTAGAATTTAGAGCAGGCATTGAAAGCAGAATTTAGAAAGGCACCATGGCATCAGAATTTAGGATCTACAGAGACTGCATCAGGTGGCAAAATGCCTAGCACCAGCTCTGTGTAGGATGCATTAAGACATATTAGATGAATTTTTGGAATTGTCAGCTTTCAATTTCTTCTATAAAAAAAATTCCTTTCTATAATGCCTGTCCATATGATAAGATTAGAAGTACTTTTGATATTTTCCATGCTTGTATCTAGTGAAAAGTAGAGAAAATAAAGGGAAGATAAAAATGTTAAGAAAGCGATTCTACAATCAGAAGTTAAACATTCAATTATTATGTTTTCATTGTTCTTCCAGACATTCTCCACAATGTAAGAAACTGAGTGTTACTACAATGGAAACATTTTTCATTTTATCACATTTTTCTGAAATTTTTTAGAATTGTGGGTGTTTAAATTTGCCTTGAAATCTTACTAAACTTTCCAAGCTTCAGTGTCTAAAATCCTAAAGAAAAACTATGAATTCTGTAACAGCAGAAATGTTTTTAGAAAAAAATCGGAAGGAAAAAGTGAGAAATTAATTTTATAGAGACAACTGATGCATATTCTGAGAATTCTGATCATTCTGCAAAATGGGAAAAATTCTTACCATGAAAAAATTAAAAAGACATTTTTAATTAATTACATAGTTATTTTGCTTTTGCTAAAAACTGTTTCATAAACTGTGCTTTATAGCATTATTCCTTGCTTATTTTTCAGATTAAAAAAAATTGTATAATATGTGGCCAAAATTGAACTTTGTAATATGACAGTGAAAAATAAAAATGCTTTATTTTAATGTTATTTCTTAAATATAATTCCAATATATTACCATTATTTTAATGAAATTTATCAATGTTAGAATGTTCTAAAAAAATCGTCAATTTTCCAGATCTCGGAATTAAAAATTTTCTATAGAAACCGATCTTAAAATTGCCAAGTTTAGAACCGTTTAATAAAAGAATTCACATCCCTAAAAGTGGAAAGTTGTTTGAGAGCTCTTTATTACAAAAAATGAAATAATTTTGAAATGCTTATGTTTCACTTCTTGCTCAGGAACTCGAGTATCCCACCATTATTTATATTACAAATAGGAACAAATAACTCATGAACCCATTCAAAAAATAGCCATATTTGTCAGTGAATCGCCAAAAATATTCCTGCAAAATGTTAATTCACACCCAAAACGGCAGTCGTGAAAACAGACAGAAATTTCAGATGATTAAAATTAAGGACCTTCTGCTGATTTTGGCCAAAATTAAGGACTTTTAAAGACCAAATATCAATTCCAAAAAACTTAAGGACTTTTAAGGACCGTATGATCCCTGTTTTAACAGTTAACAGTAGGCACAATCTTCAGCGTCTTGGCTGCAATGAATTCAGATTAGGAGGATTACACACAACAACGGCATACACATTTCATTTTGAAACTGTGCCACATGAGTAAAGGAGAAATATAAAGTTTTCATACATCTCATATTTCTTTTCTTCTCTTGTGAACCAAATACAAAATTTAGAGATATATTCATAAGAGCTACAGATATGGATGCTGCATGTAGGAATTAGTATTACACACTAAATTTGCACCAAAATATCCTATAAACAAGATTTATATTTTCAAAAATGATTACGCAGCACCAGTGGCTGAGGTTGAATACTAGGCTTAAAACTGTTGAATACTAGTAGTTCAGCCAGGATTCGAGCTCAGGCAAATGGGCTGACTGCATGATTAATTTTCATGATTTTCGCCATGTATAATGTGAATGCGAGTCATTTTCTCCTTGTAAGTCTTCTAAAGAAAGACATTGAGGGAAACAAATAGCCCTAGAGTGCTTTGCCATGCTCAAATAACCAAATTCAGTATAACATAAAGGATTTTAAAGCAAATATGAATATGAAGTAAGATCTTACATCTTCTCAAAATATGTAAGAATGGTGAGGCTAAACATTATATATGTAATAAAATGAAACCATGAATTATTAATAATGCAAAAACTAAAAATGGTCACCTCTACCTCTTTTTTTGGCTTCCTTCCAAAAGATAGAGCATTAAAGAGAAAGGAAATAAATATTTAATCTTTGTAGAAGAATTTGGAATAGATTCTAGGGTTTCTGAATGCTCAGAAGAACCAAGAGTCACAGGCAGTGGCAAGATTTAGTTGACCAGATGATGAAACACAAACAAATCCAACAAATTTGCCTTTATTATTATTTGTGTAATGAAACCTAAACTTTTTCTTTTTTTTGTGTGTGTGTTTTCTTCAACTTCAGAAATCCTATTCAAGTTTCAGCAGAATAAAATCTTTATCCTTCAAGGATATTTTTCTCTTTCAGATTCACTTTCATCTAAATGTAAAAATGTACAATTTCTTCATTTGCAAGATCTTTACTTGCTCATCTGAATGTTGAAGAAAACTGAAATAATATTACCCTCTATTTCAGGCTCATCATCAGCTGATCAGTAATGCCACTCAAGTCACTAGTTCGATCTGGGCTTAACATCAAGCAAACAGGTTGGTTGGCATGGGAATTCTCATGGTCAGAGCCCATGAATACTTTTGCATAATCAAATAAAAAAAAGCAACCATCTATTTCATACATTCTCTCTTTTGCCTCTGATCGCATGCACAGCAAGCAGATGCTCGTTTTCATATAAAAATAATCAGTTGCTGGAAAGAGGGGTGAAAAAATGCAGATGTACTTACTTGCAAAATAACATTTTTTATAGAGCTGTTTTAAATGTTTCTTCTCGTTTTCCATATTGCTGTCAAAATGATGGCTGTTTTAATCACACAAAACATTTTTTCAATTTAATCAGTACACAAAATACTTTTTTCCCTTTTCAAACTGAATACAGTCTTATAGAAATGTGTACATATATATCACATATAGCTAGGAAAAGCTTTAAATCATCAGTAGCTACAGCCCACAAATAAAGAGGTAGTGCTCAAAAGTAAATTATAAACTGTGAAAATTATGGTAGGAATCCTTATAGTGTTAAAGGAACTTACCTTAATCAATTTAATAATAGGCTTTGCACATTGTTTATTATGCAACACACTTCTTTCAATTTCTGGAAAATCTAATCTCCATGAAATATTACAATCCGATTCACTCATTGGGACTTCTCCAGCACATTGTTTTGGAATAAAGAAGCATATTTTTTTCTGAAATAAAAATTCATCAATTTTGTTAATGTTATAAAATAATTTACATAATATACATATTCTGAGCATTAAAAAGTAAACAAAATTAGCATAAAATGCAGTTCAAGCTTTCAAAATTCAGATAATTTAGTTTCTTTGGGAATAGATATTTGACTAAACACAAGTAGTCATAAGAAATCAACAGACCACTGCTAGTACTCTTTTACTAGATTTAGTAACATTTTATAAATTTTTAATATTCTAGTTTGCTATATGACCTACCTATTTCTTTCTTCCTATGCAGGGTGAATCTGAAAAAGTTGACAAAACTTTACCGGGTGATAGAATGCAGCTATACAAGCAATATTCTTCATAGAAATTTTGGGTGGAACGCAAACGGCAAGCCGCTAGGTGGCACTGCTAATGGTATAAAAAATGGTCAATTGTCGCACCCTATTTTGTGCCATCTTCTAATCTGTCTTCCTGGACCAACTGTTCAGTACTCATTCTACCTGAAGCGCCCTTCTATGGCGCTTCTAAAGTTCTGATAGAACACAGCATGAATTACTCATGCCAATTTTGGTATACAGTGAAATTGGAGTTGGACCCAGCAATATTTTCTACCATAGATTGCCGAGAGGGTGGCTGGAATGCAGTTTCACCCATGAGGATGTTTTTAATACCTACAACTCGCACACCTGGATACACTACAAACCCACATGTCATCATTCATTCCAGCAATGGTTTTTCAATAAATATTTGAGCAGGGATTCTTCATAACCATTTGGATAGCCCACGTATGTAGTTGCAGGTCGAGAATGGTTATAGCATGACGATGCATCTGCACACTTCAGCTTGGATGTGTGGAATGCTTTAGATGCAAAATTCCCAGGTTGATGAATCGGTTGAGGTGGTTCCTTAGCTTGGCCACCAAGACCCCCAGATCTCTTATGTTTGGATTTTTACCTCTGGCATCAAATGAAAAGCTTAATCTACAAGTACCTATTTGAAATCAATATGGATCTAGTCACCACGCTCGCTGTTGCTGTGGCGATACTCGGGAAATGCGGGGTGTCTTCGCAAACGTGTGTCAGTAGATATTGCTGCAGGTGTGAAGCCTGCATTACAGCTGGCAGAAATTATTTTCAGCGAGCTTTTTGAGAAGATACATCAATCATATTCTTCTATATAAAATGTTTTTCGAAGTATCTCCTCTCAATCTTGTGTTAGTTCTTTAAATGAGACAGTTGAAAAAGTACTTTTTAGCTTCTCACTTCTTGCATTCTGACCATACAGTCTATGATGAATACTGCTTGTACAGTTGCATTCTATCACACTGCAAAGTTTTCCCCACTTTTCCGGATTTACCCTGTTGATAACAGTAAAAAAATTAAAACAGAGTTCAACATATGAATTTATTTAGGTTTATTCATAAAGAAGTTACTGACATGCTTTTTGAAAGATGACACTAAAGATGTAAACTCCACGCCATTCACACAATACTTAATCGCAAAATCTCGGAGCTAAGGTCTAATAAATATTTGGGGGGGGGACACAAAATTTCATTCTCATGACGAAAGACAATACCTTGAAAATTGGTCAGTTCTAGGCATTTTGCTTCAATTTCTGCTTTTAAAACCACCATTTGGGAACAGTACTTTCACAAATTTATAGTCTGATTTGGTGGCAATAATCATACAATTCCTTTGAAGTCCCACCATATGTACAGCATTACTTTTTTTGGATGCAGCTTCCCTCTCGATGTCACTAAAACAGGTTCTTTTAGATGAAACCATGATATTTTTTTCCTAACATTATTGCATGAATCCATTTCTAATCTTCAAAAATGAGCTAATTAAAAAAGAAGCTTTACTTTTTTCCAGCAAAAAATCCTACACTAAAACTTGGACAAGTATACACTCTTTTGCAAAAAAATTGAAGCACCAAGAAGGACTTTTGCGATTGTGACGAAATTTGGTATGCAAATGATCAAAGTTTCAAGGCAAATGAACAGGAATTGCGATCATAGCACACATGATATCGAAGACTTTACAGACAACTAAACAACATCGAACGTAGTCACATCATAAGGTTGCATGAAGCTGAGAGGTCATACCAAGCAATAGGCCACCACCTGCAGCGTACAGACACAGTAGTGCAAAGATGTTGGCAGCAATGGTTGCTACAAGGACATTGCTGATGAAATGAAGGCTCTGGAAGGTCAAGGAGAACAAATGTGAGGCAAGACATGATGATTGTTCGCCAGGCCTGAACTGTCCCAAAGGTATCATTGTCAACTATTCAATGCATTACAGCTACATCTATATATCCTGTGGTACCGTCCACCATCTCACGGCGCTTGTCTGTGGCGGAGTTACGCTCACAAAGACCCTTTAAGACGTTTGCCTTTGACCCCACAACATCGGCAGAGTCCTCTGGAGTGGTGTAGCCGAACATCCTGGCTGTCATCATATAGTATTCAGCGATGAATCCCGCTTCTCTTGAAGCAGATGACCACCGTGTTCATGTCTGGAGAGGATGGAGCCAGCGGTCCCAATCAGCCTTTGCTTTACAAAGGCATACAGCCACATCGCCTGGTGTGATGGTGTGGGGTGCTATTTCTTATGACAGCAGGTCATCTTTAGCCATCCTCCATACATCGTTAACAGCTCAACTATATGTTGATACTATCCTGTGGCGGGTTGCATTACCCTTCATGGCACGTCATCCTAGGGCCATTTTCTACAAGAATAATGACAGGCCACATACCGCTCGCACATCTCTGGACTGTCTCCGTGCAGTTGATACTCTTCTTTGGCCAGCAAGGTCACCAGATCTTTCACCAATCGAGGATATCTCGGACATTGTAGGCCGCTTGATTCGGGTATCACAAAATATCGCAGATCTGGAGCGACAACTGATGAATGCCTGACAGAATGTGTTGCAGGATGAGATTAGGAGACTCTGCACCTCCATGCCACTACGAATTCAAGCATGCATTGCCGCCAGGGGCAGTTCGACCAACTACTAATTTGAACACTCAATGGGTGATTGTGAGCCGTGAACAGGTACTATGACCTTGATTTTCTAATCATTTTATTATCTGTGTATGAGCTATACACATATTTAATTTCATCAAAAACAACCACTTCCTTCGTGGTGTTTCGATTTTTTTGCAAAAGAGTATATTCTGCTCTGTTAAAGTGCTTTTATAAGAAAAATAAAGTAGTTTATATGGGGCCCCCACACATCACAACAGCTTGCATACCCAACCTTCTTCAAATAATCATGCACTGTTCTTTTCGGAGTATTCACACTGTCTCAAAGTTCCTAAACTGTAAAATTTAGATTTTTAGTGGTACTTCTTTTTAAAATTATTCCTTATTGGTCGTCCAGAGTGGGCATCGTTTTCAAAGCTGAAATTTCCACACTTAATCCTTTGACGCGTAGTATTTGCGTCCTGAAAAAAACCAATTTTCGAATTTTTTTCTTCTCTTTCTTCCGAAATTTTTGAGTGAAAATCAATTGATTACTGATCTTTTACCTCTAAATAACACAAAATGACTGCAGAATCATACATGTTTTAAGTCTTAGTACTTGAAATCGGATGCCTTTTAAAATTCGTTCTCAATGAGAAAAAATAACTTCCTTTTATTAATATAAACAATTTTAAATTTCAAAAGTTATTCATTGCATATCATGATTTCTATGATAAACAATAAAAAATAGCAATAATTAAACTGCATATATATATTAAAAAAACCCTCTATATGTATGGCATTTGCTTTGTGGTTTCAGGGTGCGACCACTGCACCTCTAAAGCATTGTCACAATGCTCTAGAGCAGGGGGTCTCCAAACTACGGCCCGAGGGCCACATCCGGCCCACGCACAGATTTTGTTCGGCCCGCGGAGAGCTAGCATACTTGAAAACTCCTTTTAGAGAACATATTTTTTATAGCAAATTAATTTTAGTTTACTGAATGAAGTATTCTAATTTTATGTTGAATAATTATTAATATGACATCTACATTGATATGGTCATGGGCTAACTACTCATAACATTATTGTAGGCTTATTGTTATTGTTTTTGTGATAAGTTGGATAAAGAAACACAGAATTGTAAAGAGTAAAGACATGTATAATATGCAGAAAATTTAACTTCAGTATATAATAACTAACAAATTATTGAAATGAATCCAACTAACATTTTATACATTTTAAATAAAATCATAACTTATAACAAGCATAATGACATATGAAATGCTAATGAGATTTATGTAATTGAGATTTTCCACTGACAATAGTTTGTAGTTGTGGACTAATTTTACTTGTACCAATTATTAAAAGAGATTTAAGATGCTCATCAGTTAATTTAGATCTGTAAACATTTTTTGTGTACTTCATTTTGGAGAAGGTCTTCTCACACAAATAAGTAGTACCAAAAACAGAAAACAGCCCACGAGCAAATTTATGCAAATTATCAAATTGTGTCAGTGGAAGACTCTCATAAAATTCCAACAAAGATGAGTTTTGATATTTGTTCTTAATTATATGCACTGTAGATCAATCATTTCCATTTGAAGTTCCGGGGTTAGGGTTTCAATGTCAGTATCAAAAGGATTCTGAAAAATCTTAATTTGATTCGCAATGGCATCAAAGTCCGAGAAACGAGTATCAAAATTTATTTTCAAAGCACTCAAAGTTTCGATTGCAAAATCGATAGGAAACTCAGTCTCAGTGGTGTGGCTGAATATTTCACATGTTTTAAAATGTGAAAAACATTTACTTCATAGTTGTGATTGAAACAGTATCAATTTCTTCTGGAATGATTTGATGTTAGTGTATAAATCAGGAAGATGCTGGTTTTCTCCTTGCAATCTCAAATTCAGTTCGTTCACATGTTTTGTCAAATCAACATAGAATGCTACCTTCCACAGCCATGCGTTGTTTTGTAATTCAGTAAGAGGGCAATGTTTTTCATTCAAAAAAATTTCGATCACTGCTCGAAGTTCAAAAAAGC